GCGGACCTCAAAACGTAAAAATCCGTCGAAAACTCGAGGTCGAAAAAAATCATGATTCCTATACTTTCCTTATATCTGTATACAGATAGGAAAGTAAAAACTAATAAATTTAATATGCAACGAAAAGAAAAGGCCAACTTTAACAACCACTAAAACCGCTTGTATCAAAAGTAACCGCAAACAGAATAATTACTGGGGAGATTTCCCAAACTTTGGCGTAATGTGCATATTTTCTATTCGAAAAGACATTTAAAATCCTATTTTATTGGACTATTACCAGAAAATGCTGTCTTGCCGTTAATGTAAATACAAAGATTTTGATGGCATTTCTGAGTTTAGGTAAACAACACGATCATTAAATCTGTTTAATAATAATAATAATAATAATAATAATAATAATAATAATAATATTAATAATAATAATAATACTCTCCCTAATTCACCCCCTTACGAGTGAATTTCAACCCCTGAAGTCGACTGAACGACTTGTGTAGGGGAAGGGACGGCTATTATTATTATTTGCCGTGGCGCTTCGGGGCGACTTAAGGATGATTGATGGTGCCATTTGACTTACAGGTGAGGAAAACCCGGAAAACCTCACCCACCATCATTAAATCATTAAAAATATTTGCCGGATAGTTTTTCTTATATATTATACAGTGCTTTTCAGATAAAAGTATCCACCTTAAGTAACTTTTAAAGGACTGATTATTACAAAAAACAAAAAAATACGTCAATTAATATTCGAAGGGGGAGATATCGGGCCATATTTAAGTTTGCTGAAAAAGTCACCCTTTCACCCCTACTATCATCCTTTCAATTTTTTTAAATGGCTTCCCCCATTTTTTATCCATTTTTGGATTGTTCTCGTTTAACTGATTTCAAAAATGTATAAAACATGGGGTTTAAAATAATTAGTTTATGATCTACAGGGTTCCATTATTTGAGTGACAAATTTTTACATCTCACCTTACTGACTGCAGCAAAATTGGATTTAGAATACATTATACCTTAATCGTACCGCTAAAAACTTGTTGAAGTTCTTTATGATACATGGTAAAGGTATTGGAGATTTGAAAAATGAATTTAAATTACTTTTATAGTGTATTTTGATACATGTGCACATTGATTTGTTGAGGTTATTCATTTGATTTGAAAATGGTTTACAGTTTACAAGAAAGAATTGAACTTATAGGTTTATACTACAAAAATAACAGTTCTGCACTAGCTGCTGCTAGAATTTTCAACGAAACACACCAAGGAGGTCATGCAACTCATAAGTATGTAATTAATCTTATGCATAAATTTACATCAACCGGGTCAGTTGGCAATAAAAAACATAACCGACTGGAACTCGTAAATAACGAAGCAATTGAAGTCGCAGTTTTAGGACAAGTAAGTCTTGAAAATCAACAAGCACAGTCACTGACAACAATAAGCACAGTTTATCGAATATTACACAAGCATAAGTACCATCCATACAAAATTAAATTGGTTCAAGAGTTGTATGAAGATGATTTTGATCGTCGTCTTGAATTTTGTGAACTATGAGTCAGCGCTTGACTGACAATCCACATTTGTTGCACAACCTTTGTTTTTCGGATGAATGCACATTTTCAGTTAATGGTTTAGTTAATAGACATAATTGCAGATATTGGGCTGAGAGTGATCCACATGTTGTGCGTGAATACCACACACAGAATCCTCAAAAGTTAAATGTATCCTAGGTGACCACATAGGCGGACCTTTCTTTTTAGACGGAAACTTAAATGGAGAGTCATATCTTGAGTTATTGAGAGAAGTAATTGATCCACGTATTACAACAATAATAGAAAATGATCATAATCTTTCTGAAGATTTGCTTGTCTTTCAACAGGATGGAGCGCCTCCACATTTTGCTTTGCCAGTACGACAATTTTTAAATGAAACTTTCCTCCAATCGTTGGATAGGTAGAAGAGCCTCGATGATGGAGTGGCCACCTAGATCACCGGATTTATCACCTCTAGACTTCTTTTTATGGGGTTATTTAAAAACAAAAATTTATGCTACCCAACCAGAATCTTTAGAAGATTTACGACAAAGAATAGAGTATGAATGCCTACATTTAAATGCACACGTGTTCGGTAATGTCAGGGAGGCTTTTCAATCTAGGTTATACCATTGTATGGAAGTAAATGGTGGACATTTTGAACAATTTTTATAATAAATTTTGAAAATGAAATATTCGTTCTGTCATTGGAAACGCTTGTGACAAAATCATTAAAATAAAAGTTTTGCACAATTCAATTTTATTTTAATTTAAAATTCTGTATATCGTAAACTAATTACTTTAATCCCCATGTTTTATACATTTTTGAAATCAGTTAAACGAGAGCAATCCAAAAATGGATAAAAAAATGGGGCAAGCCATTTAAAAAAATTGAAGGGATGATAGTAGGGGTGAAAGGGTGACTTTTTTAGCAAACTTAAATATGGCACGATATCTCCCCCTTCGAATATTAATTGACGTATTTTTTTGTTTTTTTTTAATAATCAGTCCTTCAAAAGTTACTTAAGGTGGATACTTTTATCTGAAAAGCACTGTATAAATATTTAATTAAAAAGCAATACTTTTTTGAAATATAGATAAAATCTTGAAGACATTGGCTTTGAGTTTTATTTCTATTTTATTTTAAAAATTATAACATTTCTGTTTCGAAATTCAAACATTTTTGACATTTAATATTACAAATTATATAAATTTTATTAACAACGAATCTGTCCTTTTATATTTACGAAGACTGCCCTGATATCTAATCGATTTTCTTTTTTAAAGTATGTTTATTGTTCAACCGTTGTTTCATCTCACTCATACACACAAGGATGAAAGAGTGCAGACAACTATTCAACTAACTAGATATAACCAAGTCCATGTAAATAAATTGTTTCATATCCCGTACATGTCAATTGTCAGCTGAAATTTCTACTTTTAAAGATCAAATGTTGGCTGTTACTAACTGTTGGTTATAGTCTTTTAACCTCGTGAGTATGAGGAAGAATGTCAAAAACAGAAACTGATATATACCAGTAAGTGGTGATGTGGTATCGCGAAAAATTATCTCTAATGTTTAATGTCGTTCCTGTCAAATGAAGGCTGTCAATCAACCTTGTCAATGTTATGCGGGATCACACTTTGATTAAATTAGGCATTCCAAACTGAATGGCTACCAGTGGGTTATGATATGGCAAAATTATGGCAACCCTGTAGGCTTGGTGATTTGACAAGGTCAATGAAATAGATAGTTACATAGATTGATCATCCATATTTTTCAAAATAAACATAAGCTTATGCCTTGAAATAAAAATGTAAGCAATTATTTTTTTAAATATCTTAAGGCACATACTTTGATTACTATACGAGGCAAGAGAGAGGTCCGACACGCCCAACATAGGGCGCGGCCATTTTGAACCCTGTGACACAGTTTACAGCTAAAGAATCAGATCGCTCACTCTGCGTCGGCACTTTGGATCTCAATGTTTCAGTTTATACACTGTGCAACTCGGATAATACAATATATGACAACCGCCTATAATAAAACAGCAGTCTTCTGCGTATCCTGAATTTGTATTCCTGGAGTGGATGTTATTTTGGAACTTTCAACTGGTCCGAGTGAGCTAACTGATTCTTTAGCAATAAGCTGTGACTTCAAAAATAATATTCACTGACACTGATAGCAGCAAGCAAAATATCAGGTGCGTTTTAATCATTCGCTTCTGCTTTCGGAATTGTCGGTTTAGTCGTTTTAACCTGTCAGATTAAAGCAAGAAAACTGACAATTCCGAAGCAGAAGCGGATGATTAAAACGCACCTATTAAAAATATTGCGCCAAGATGTAGGCAACACGTAATAAGGGTTCAAAATGGCGGAGTTTTCTATCTCCTTTTAAAAGGCACTCAGAAAGCTGCGCAGTGCGACCATTCTCCGTATAGTAAAAGAAAATCAAAGTATGTGTCTAAAGGCTAATAATTGATTTTAATACACATTTTTGCTAAACCGATTCAAATTAATAAATATTTGCCAGGCAATATGGCCGCTCGTAAACGACCAGCTTTGAGCAATCTATATAACTATATACGTATCATTGACCCTGTTAATGACAACTTGACAACAGGGTTGCCATATCTAAACTGTCATTACCCACTGGTAGCCATTTGGACAGGTCGTTGGAATGCCTAATTAGATTAGGAGTTGGACGTTATTTGTCCTTGTCCACCGCGACCTTTTCAGATCTATTGTGGGATTTCGTTTGTTTTAGAGTATATCGTCTAGCCTGGTCTTTTTTATTAGACTTAGTAGCTTTGACAATAGCTCCCGCATGTAGTTGCATGCATTTGGCTTTTCTTCGCCCAATATTAGAAACCTCATTCCAGCCAAGCCTTCTCATTGGCACAGGACGTGGACGTTTCCTCTTCTTCTCAGAACCTGCACAAAGTTGCTTCTTCTGCTGGATTGATAACACTCATGTGTGCCTTTTGAGGCGACAGTGTCCAGTAAGAAGGCCTACTGTTATCCTAACGGTTTGACGCTTTTGATCCAATAGGTCTTTCGTGAACTTGGCCGATGGTTTCTTGATGAACTGTTTGGCCTGTCTCAGTCTTGGATAGTTGTTCCACCATTCCTAAGAATCTTTTTGCATCCATTGTTTAATGGATGTCTTGCTCAGTGCCTTAGCAACTCCACAGAAGGATTAGGGGCCTGTCATGACCTTATCTGAGCCTTCTCGGGCTAATTCGTCGGCCTTTTCGTTGCCCTGATATCCTTCATGGCCTGTTTGGATTATGAAAGTATCATTCTATAAAAAAGCTAATACACCCGGTGACACGGTGATTTTGAAACGATACCTCATTTCACTTCTATATCTTTAACACCATGTATCTTGTTCCATAGCAACATATGCGCTTACTCTATGTCCCAATAGTTATGACTCATCCTGTATACAAAATATGATTTTCTTTCCAGATCGACACGGCCACAACGGAATCCGTCATAACGGTAGACTGGGAGAACGGCTTTGTAGAAACCTCGGCGAAAGACAATGTCAACATCTCGAAAGTATTCAAAGAACTTCTAACCCAAGCGAAAGTCAAGTACAATCTGAGCCCGGCCCTGCGTCGCAGACGCAGGCAATCGTTGCCCTCTCAATCGGGACCCCCTTCGACACCGCAGCACGCGGCCATGATACCGTCTGCGGTGCAGTTGCAGCACCTGCAGCAGATCAGGGACCGGCACGGCAAAAGGAATTCGTGCATCATCTCCTAAGTTCGACTTTTCTATGTAGAATAATAAGTTAAATGATTCGAACGGGAAGGTATAAAAGAGGTCCTGGAAGGATATGTTTTAATTGCAGATGTTCTAAAGGATGTTTACCACAAAATCAAATTGATTCCAAGTGGCTTTTAATAATTAAGATCGGTTCTAGATTTATATATTTGATTTGGTACGTAATCTTCTTGTTCTCTTAAGATTTTTTAATTCAGTTCATTTACTACATACTTATTTAATGTCTACCAGTTAAATGATGATTTTAAAAATTAGAAACGTCGGCCAGCAATGAGGAAGTTAAAAATTAATAAATATGCCTGTTTTATACCTTCCCGTTATTGTGTTTATACTAATATTTTTGATGATTTTTGAAATCTATTTAAAAAGACTTACCGCATAAAATGAGTTCTATATACGGGTATTTGAAAACTTCATTACTCCATATACAGGCTGTGCCGTAAATATACAGACAAACTTTTATTTTTGAATGTTTTTTCCAAATTTTTTTCCAAATGTTCATAAACATGAGAAGGCACATGTCGTTATAAAAAATGTGAGATTTGATATTATATTTTAGATATATCAAATTTTAAGAGCATTAAATTCTACATGCAAAAATAAATAAAAGATCTAAAAGTTCTTAGTTTTTAAATTTTTAATTTAAAAGAATTTTCTTTATATTTATGACATTGAGATCATAATCACTTTTACAGAAATTTACATATGACTTGCACATCACAATATTATTTTATTGCTGTCTGTTTCAAACAAAATCTTGAACAGAAGCAGATCAAAGACCATTTATAGTCAAACGAGCAAGTAAATAAGTATAGAAAAGGGGAATCTAAGGCATATGGCAACGTACTACAAGTTGAAGCAGACAGATCAGCTCGAATGTCAGATGTAAAATGTTTAACATCTCGGGTTTAACTTTATTAAAAAAAGGTTTAAATACGGTGTCTCAAACTGAAATAATACAATTTATCTTTGAGACAAATGGTCTTAAGTATGATATGATATAGTATAGTGTTAAACAATAAATATTATGTATTTTATAAATGTTTTTTTATTATGTCCCCTACTACCGCAAAAAGTTTGTCGGTATGTTTTCGAAACACCCACAAGTATATTTCTATCATTTGGCATTCAGTTCAGGATTGCATACATACTTAATAAATCACACGAAATCATCAAAAATACATTAAATATTAGTAATTAATAATACTTATATCTATTCATGTGCAGATTGTTAGATTGTGAAGTCCAAATTTCTTCTATTTTAAGTAAATATATACTTTAAACGGTTTTCTTATTAAAAATAAACATACGGGTTATAAAATATGTATATATAAGTAAATATTTTTGTATCGTTTATCAAAAGAGAAATATCTCTATATACAGTGTTACCCGCCTTACTAATTTCTGCACAATGATAATTTCATATAATTTCAACCCCTTGTGCAGGATACCACCCTTGAATATTTTATATGGCAACAAGGGTCGACCGATAGCTCATTTAAAATAATATAGGAATTTTTATTGATTTTTTAATAAAGGAGTCAGCAATCAAAAAAAAAAAACCGTCTCACAACAAATTTCGTGCAAGTTTGAGGAAAATTTATAATTTTTCAACAACCATTCTGAATTTCTGAAATCAAATTTGAAGTCAGCTGAGCGAAAACCCCTTTTTTACAAAGATTAATATAATTTTAGAACAATTTATAATAAATTTCGTCCATCATTTTGAATTTCTGAAATAGTGGTACCAAAAACTTTCACAAACTGGACCCCGCACTAAACTTATGGAAATTGGGTCCCGGTCAAATTCGCTGAATTTTTGATATGTGATAGAGTTCATCATATTGGTCAATTGTCTTAATGGCCACAAAGCTCAAAAATGGATAGTTTGGCCGGTACAGAGCTTTAAAGCTCCGAGTATCCTCCACGGACTTATGTATATGCGCAGTGTGTATAGACTTTTGAAATAGCCTATTTCATTTTTTTTATTATCTAGGTTTATATTTTTGAGGTTGCTGAATTCAGATCTGTTGTTAGATTTTCAAAATTGACAGTTGGCAGCTGTCAAATAGCTGTCAATGTGCTATAATAAAGCCAATAACTTGTTTTTTTATGTTTTATCTTTCTTTTTTTTTTAGTTCGATAAGTTCAAAGATGATATCAAATCAATAACAATGACTATCGGCAGCTGTCATTTAGCTGTCAACAATTCTTCAAAGTCCGGTAATAAAGTCAAAAAATTATTTTTTGTTTATAACTTCAATTTTTTTAGATAAGTGAATATAAATATGATATAAAATTATGTAGTCCTCAGCTTATAGCTGTCAACAAGCTGTCAACTAACTGTCAAAATGCAATAATAGAGCAAGTAACTTATTTTTTGTGCTTAACTTTGTGGATAAGAAATCAAACATGATATAAGTTTATGACATCACTTTTGAACTCAGTGATCTAAGCAACTTAAAGCTTTAAAAAAAAAGTAATTTTTTGACTTTATTATTGCATTTTGACAGTTAGCTGATCGATTGGGCACAGCTGTAAGCCAAGAATTTCCAAATAGAAAAATACATTGATGCTTTTTGTCATTGTTAAAGTTTATTCCCAATTATTTTTGAATGTTGAAACTTTGGCGTTTACTCTTTTAGTAATGCTTAAATTCACTTTTCTACCGTCGCCATTAGCGTAATCCAATGTGCACCGCGGGGAGGTTAGACGATCGGATTTTGCACTGAGTTCAAAAGTGATGTCATAAACTTATATCATGTTTGATTTCTTATCCACAAAGTTAAGCATAAAAAATAAGTTACTTGCTCTATTATTGCATTTTAACAGTTAATTGACAGCTAGTTGACAGCTGTAAGCTAGATGACTACATAATTTTATATCATATTTATATTCACTTATCTAAAAAACTTGAAGTTATAAACAAAAAATAATTTTTTGACTTTATTACCGGACTTTGAAGAATTGTTGACAGCTAAATGACAGGTCATCTTTGAACTTATCGAACTAAAAAAAAAGAAAGATTAAACATAAAAAACAAGTTTTCGGCTTTATTATAGCAGATTGACAGCCAATTTTGAAAATCTAACAACAGATCTGAATTCTGAAACCTCAAAAATATAAACCTAGATAATAAAAAAAATGAAATAGGCTATTTCAAAAGTCTATACACACTGCGCATATACATAAGTCCGTGGAGGATACTCGGAGCTTTAAAGCTCTGTACCGGCCAAACTATCCATTTTTGAGCTTTGTGGCCATTAAGACAATTGACCAATATGATGAACTCTATCACATATCAAAAATTCAGCGAATTTGACCGGGACCCAATTTCCATAAGTTTAGTGCGGGGTCCAACTTTGACCACCCACTTTTGATTGCATTCTGGTCCATCGTGCAGCTAACTCATTTTTAGAAACTGGCCACATTCTCACAGGTTTTAAACGTCTTTAATCTAAGATTCTGGGTAGGGTTGCCAGACGTCATGCTTTAGGCGTATTTTCCACGCTTTTTGAGTTGCTTGTACGCTCGGCGCCATAAGTACAAAAATGTCCTGCTTTTGACAAAGAATGCCACTCTTTTTATGCAAATACCACTCTTTTTATGCAAATGTCACACGCTTTAAGCAGTAAATAAAAAGAAGGAACTGGATTTACAGACAATACAAGCTGAGGACCTTTTTTTTAGAAATTTCACAAATAATGAACTTCATTATGCGGGGTGTCAATTTGAAAATTTTCAGTGCGAATATCTCGCAAAATAAAAAAGTTGGAAAAACGCCGTTTGACAGAAATGTTATAGAGTTAAGGGGAACTAAAACCACCATTTTTAAGTGAGCGGGTGAGTCACCCCTTAGACGCGACACACCCCAACTTTAAAATGTCAAATGGCACTACCCCTTTTGTGATACCTCAAATGAACGGCGTCATTTAGTAGTATTCACCTGTACAAGAATTTTTTTCCACTCAAAAAATTCGAATAAAAAAATTTAATGATATTTAATTTGATTAGATGTTCAAAATGCATTCCATTTTGTACTAAACAATAGTATAATCGATTTTCAAATTCTGTTCTAACATTGTGGAACACTTCTCTTGGAATATTGCTGCAATCCGTAATAATTCGTAGCCGAAGATCTTCTATTGAATCCGGTTTTGTTTTAAATACGATGGATTTCAAATGTCCCCAGAGAAAAGAGTCAAGAGGTGTTAGATCGGGAGATCTCGGGGGCCATTCGATTGGACCTCTCGGTCCAATCCATTGACCTGAAAAAGCGTCATTCAAAAATTGCCTGACTGGAAGAACATAGTGGGGTGGTGCTCCGTCTTGTTGAAAATGTATTAAATTTTTATTCAGATTCCTGTTTCCGACTATGTCCAGCTGATTTTCAATTTCTTCAACAATAAGAGGTTGAATGGTGGTGTCTAATATTTCCAAGTAAGTAACGCCATTAAAATTGCCATTAATAAATAATGGCCCAATCACAGTGTCGCCTAAAATTCCCGTCCAGACATTTATTTTTTCTGGATACTGCGTGTGCCCTTCCCTGAAGAAATGCGGATTTTCGTCACTCCAATACCTGAAGTTGTGTTTGTTCACTGAACCGTTTAAATGAAACGTGCATTCGTCCCTAAAACAAATATTTTTTAGCAACTGGGGAGTAACACGTAACATTTCGGTCATGTCCTCGCAAAATTGCATTCTTCGATCGGGGTCATCCTCCTGCAACTCCTGAAGAATTTGCATTTTGTACGGGTAAAACTTCATGAGAAATTGCAGTTATCGCCGAAGCTTGACGTAGATACATTGTTGGATTCATAACAATATGTCCTAAAACTTCCACTTATGCTGCTTCATTAAGTACTCTTTGATGGACCTTTTTTTTGTTTGCCACTGATCCTGTTTCTTCAAATTTAATAATCAATTGTCTGATGTAAGTATGACTTACATTTTTTCCGGGGTTTATTTCGTTAAATGCTGCAGCAGTTTTTAAGGCACAACGATTTTCTGAACCATAAATAAACACCATCTGAATTCGTTCAGCCAAACTGTAGACCATGATGAACAGAAAATAAAAATTATACTCGTATTTCTTCAATTACCACCAATACCACGTTCTCTACATAATGCCGTTTTTCCCGTTTGAATCGGACCAACAATAGCTGAGATACACGCTAAGGCCCTTATGGCTTTTCGTTCTGCGCAGGATTTTTCTATTCAACGTTAATCTATACCACGTTATCTTCATAATACCGTTTTTGCCGTTTGAATCGGACCAATAGCAGTGAAGATACACGCTAAGGCCCTTCTGGATTTTCATTCTGCGCAGGATTTTTCTGTTCGACGTTAAAAGAAATTTAATTCTCCACTCCCCCCACTACCCCGTTTTCTCCTCAGACCGGCTGTCTCACTCTTATTTATTGAATATATACCTCTCACTCTTACACATTGAATTCCATATGTGGGGCCGTACGAACTTTGTCTATCTACTGATAGTTCTGACTAAGTTTTATACAAACATTGATAGGTAGGTACGTACCCGATAAATTCAATGCTATTTTTTATTCTCAGATAAGTGCTTTAAAATTTTAGAATGGAATTTGAAGTTTTTTTGTTTACAAAAAAAATGGAATGCATGTTGACCATCTAATGAAATAAAATATCATCTTAATAACCATAACGGAGTTTGAAAATCGATTGTACTATATCGTTTAGAAATAAATGGAATGCATTTTGAATTATCTGATCAAATAAATTACCATTTTAACAAAATGCAGTTTATTTTATTCGAATTCATGTTTTTGTATTGAATGGAAAAAGTTCTTGTACAGGCGAATACTACTAAATGAGTCCTTTCATTTGAGGTATAACAAAAGGAGTAGTGCCATTTGACATTTTAAAGTTGGGGTGTGTCACGCCTAAGAGGTGACTCACTCCTTCGCTGAAATATGGTGGTTCTAGTTACCCCTAACTATAACATTTGTGCCAAACGGCGGTTCTCCAACTTCTTTATTTTGCGAGATATTCGCATTGAAAATTTTCAAATTGACATCCTGTATAAAAATGCCTGTTATTTGAACCTGATGCTCTGTTGTCACGGTTGTCGCGCTTTTTACTTTTGTAAATCTGGTAACCCTACTTCTGGATCATAGTAGAAATTTTGCTGCAATTGTTACAAAACATTTTGTAATATTTTTGGAGTGATTTGATACAATTTTCAAATTTATTTTTCTTTAAGAAATGTTGAATATAAATTCCTTAACACCTAACCTAACCTAACCTAACCTAACCTAACCTAACCTAACCTAACCTAACCTAACCTAACCTAACCTAACCTAACCTAACCTAACCTAACCTAACCTAACCTAACCTAACCTAACCTAACCTAACCTAACCTAACCTAACCTAACCTAACCTAACCTAACCTAACCTAACCTAACCTAACCTAACCTAACCTAACCTAACCTAACCTAACCTAACCTAACCTAACCTAACCTAACCTAACCTAACCTAACCTAACCTAACCTAACCTAACCTAACCTAACCTAACCTAACCTTACTGAATAGAAAATTAAAAAATAATCCATTCAAATGAGCTATCAAAAAAGTTGGTAATTCGTATCGTACCTTGCAAATAAATTTTCTGTCAACCCAGGTAAATATTTTAAGATGGTTACAATTAGACACCGTTAAGCAATATGGCGACCATTTTTTACATTGATATAAGGTTTTTCAGATCTAAATTATTTAAAAGAAATGGTCTACAATTAACTTTTTTCTGTCAAATCTCCAGATAATAGAAAAATGGTAAGTTTTTACTCTGAATAAAGGAACATTCTTGCAACATTTTGTGCATTTTGTTTACCGTGCATTTTGTTTACCGTGCAATTTGTTTACTATGCTATTTACTACATCTGCAGTTCATATATTTTTGTCTTCTTTCCATTGTGGTCGTAGATAAACGTTTTTACACGTCACAACAAATTTAAACTGGATAGATCCACGTCATCAGCATATCCATTTAGGGTTACTAATTTTAGTTAGCACCGTATGTGCTTAATTGCTTTTTGTTGAAAGGAAATACAAGACAGGTCAATAGCCGAACCTCCCTTTAATCACCCTACTACTTGTTGATTACATTTTTACCTTTCTCCCTTCCTGTATCGACGAAACATAGACCTTTAAATCTCGCATGCACTTTGGTTCATTTTCAGAATCCGACTGTTCGAATAATAAAAGAAATAAATCAGATGGATTCGCAGCAAGTGTTGCGGCAGCGAAACTTCTTGGATACCTTGTTTGGTTCAATATTCTGCAGTTAATTCAGCAATAGGTTTAGCAATTTTTAACTATTACCTATTC